TAAATATATATATATATATATATACACGCTTATGTTTACATCCATACATACATGCATTCATGCATACATACATACTTAAACATACATACATACATACATACATACATACATACATCCATACATACATACATACCTACATACATACATTAGATATACATATGTATGTATGTATGTATGTATGTATGTATGCATGTATGCATGCATGTATGTAAGTATGTAAGCATGTAAGCATGTATGTATGTATGCATGTATGTATGTATGTATGTATGTATGTATGTATGATGTATGCATGTATGTATGTATGTATGTATGTATGTATGTATGTATGTATATGTATATGTATATGTATATGTATATGTATATGTATATATACATATATATATATATACACACTTTATGTTTGCAAATTTCAATGCAAATACATCTGCATTATACCTATGTGTAAAGAAACCAATGTCTAATCCCAAAGGTCCGAAGACCCAATACCCCGTAGAATTACTGTACTGGTGTCAATACTAATTAGAATAGGGCTTATTGAGGCCCCGACATTCTACCCTAAACCCTAAACCCAAACCCTTTTTCATCCCCTGATCCTGAATACCTGTCAAAAAGCAAAGAACACAAAAATCAGCCAAAAAGTCGGATGCCTGCGGCGCGCCGCCGTAGCCCCGGCTTTGCATGGCATCGATCTCTGCCTTACGAATGGCTTAGGATGCTAGAGTTCAGGGTCTAGGGCTCAAGGTTCAGGGATGCAGGGCCCAGGGTTCAGTGATGTAGGGAGTTCCAAATGCTGGAACGGCTATTTATGGGCTTCCATACTTGACATGAGCGAAGCCTAACGGAGGCAGGATCTTGAGTCGCGGGCGTTTAGTTGGGCTGCAGATGTCGCATCACGGGAGGAAAGACATGGTCGTCAGGAGTATTTGGAACAGGGGATCGTGGGTATATTATCGGTATATTCGAGTACATCCACGCAGAACAGCACTTCAAGGTCTGGCAAACCCCTGGGCCTTGCAATCCCCAAAGTCTAAAGCACTCCGTCCGGTTCCTAAGCCTTCTATAGATCCCTTGAAGGAGCCCTTAAGGAACCCTTAAGGTTCCGAAGTCCCCTGTAGACCCCCCACACATGGACCCTGAATGCCCAAGCACTGCACCCTTCAAGCCACGCCTGTTGCTGCGCGTACATGCAGCCATTCAGGCAGAGGTATGCAAAGTCCGCAAGGAGGATCAGCTCCTCTTGATTAGGGTCTAAGGTTTAGGGTTTAGGGTCTAGGGTTTAGGGTTTAGGGTTTAGGGTCTAGGATTAAGAGCTCCCGGCCGAAATAGTCTAAGCACCAACATGGTAAAGATATTTGTGGCCTTGAAAAGTATATTATATGGGTAGTTCTCCAAATTAGGGTGCCTTTTAGGGTCCTGTTTATAAGGGTGCCGTACTATTTGGGGGACCTAAAAAGGGACCCTAATTTAGAGAACTACCCATATACCGGTGTGGTACTTAGGCCCTGTGGGAGGGTCAGGCTTTACTTGAGGATCAGGGGACTGGGTACTTAATATTGTAGCTACCTTGTAGTAGCGACTATAGTATCTATAGCTACTAAGTCCCCTGATCCTTGTATAGTAGATACTAAAGCCTTAAAGTACCCATATAGGGACCAAATTTAAGGCCTAAGTATCTACTATAAAGGTACATGGAGCCTTTGAGTGGTTTTTGAGAGTGGAGGGAGGCGAGTAAAGCGCTAAGACTTGGGAGGTCGAGTAGAAAGAGTTCAGGGCTTCGGCTCTCTGGATCAGCATCGGGGGTCCCCCTAAACCCTAATAACTACCCATAGGCCCCATAATAGGTCTTTTTTGTGGCTTATATTCAGGATCCTATGAGGGAATCCCAAAAAGGAACTACTATGGGGCCTATGGGTAAACCCTACTGGCTCTGGAACTCCTGCGAGATTGACAGAGCCGTAGTTGCTGAGTTCAGAAGCCCCCGAGCTTTAACCATGTCTAGACAAAAGGGGGGTTCTACTATCCTAAAGAGTGTAAAGTGTACTCCTTCAGCTAGTCAGGAGCAGGACGCCACGCTTCAACAAACAGTTGGAGGCCGGGAGAGCCCAACACACTTTAGGGTTTAGGGTTTTGGGTATCCCAAAGGCTCTACGGACTCAGGTTTTAAGGCTTCTAGGCCCGAAGACCATACCATGTGAGGCGTTTTGGGCTATGTTGAGCCTGAGGGTCTGAATAGTGGTTGTAATCACGTGAACTGCTTTATGGATTGTGTTCAGTTATGGTTCAAGAAATATTCATGCACAACACTTGTTCCCTAAACGATGACGATTGGAGGATTTCTGTTTATTGACGGGTGTTGTGGTCTTGCCCGAAGCCCGACCATCCCAAACCTTACAATCCCAAAACCCTGAATCACTAAACTGCTGCAAAACCTTAAACAAACCATGGACCCTAAACCCTCAAAGACAACTGAATGAATGCACCTACGCCGAAAGAGCCCACCAGCGACCTCTTCCAAGCGGAGATTTCGCAACTTGGGCCCCGGCACCGTCTTAGTTGGAATAACATGGGTATCCATGCATGTAAACCCTAAACCCTAAACCCTAAACCGGAACAGCAAAGGATCACAGACCACACAAGTCTTTCTAAAGTTTAACTCCCACAGAGAAGGTGAAAGCTATAGGGGCCTTAATAATTAGAATAGGGTTTGGGGGGTCCTTTATAGTAGAATTTATAATAGGGAACCCGCCCCAAAAGAGTATATCCACTATAGGTGATTATTGAGGCCCCTAAAATAAAGTATAGGAACCAAGACCCTGCAACCCGGGCGGTCCCTGACAGGCAGCTCAATGTCCAGGCAAGGGCCATCAAGATCCTTGGAGGTGTTTGAAGGGAGCTGAACCACTCTTAGGGTTTAGGGT